GCCAAATCTAAATGCTTATAATAGTTTAAAAAGGATATTGCTTTATCAAAACGGATGCAAGTCAAAAGATAAAAAAAAAATACAAAGAAATTTGTATCATGTTGGATACTACTATAAATTATGTGTTAAATGATGTTTAACTTTTAATTTTTAATTTTTAATTTTTTTTGTCACGGAAGAAATAGGAATAATTACAAAATAGAAAGATCGACAATTTTTTTCATAGAGTAAAATTACACGAATGGTCCCTATGGTTTGGGATAATTTGCACGTTTGGTCCCTAACTTATTTTTTAACTCGGAAGGTCCCTATAGTTTGTTTTTTGTTGTGCATTTGGTCTTTGTATTACCTAAAAAGACTATTTTGCTATTAATTTTTTAATATAATTAAATAACGTAAGGTAGTGAAGGTAATGTAAGGTGAGTTAGAAGTGGGGTTGGTGATGTGTTTATTTAAATAAATTTAAAAATCAATGACAAAATAATCTTTTTAGGTAAAACAGAGACCAAACATGTAACAAAAACAAACAGTATGGGACCTTACGAGTTAAAAAGTAAGTTAGGGACCAAACATACAAATTACTCAAAACCATAGGAACCATTCGTGTAATTTACTCCTTTTCATATTTACTACAAAAATTTTATTCATTTCTCACAAAAGCTTTTTACGTGTTTATATATATATATATATATATATATATATATATATATATATATATATATATATATATATATTTTGTAACATCCCAAAATTCATGACCAAATTTCATTTTTAATATAACTAAAACACATTTGTAACTTGGTTCACACATTGAAAAACATTTCAAATAAAAAATTTATCAGAGTTCATTCTAGAAATCACATATTGCGGAAAACATAGGTGGATGCGTTGCGACCGTCCCGAGCTCATTTATTTGAAAACTGGAGTTACCTGAAAACCGTAAGCACAAAGCTTAGTGAGTTCCCCAAATACCACATACCATACATATCAACATACTGCCTAGCATATTTGGGTGCTGGCCTACCCCTTCGGTCTCTTTCAACCAGATACTATCTAGCATATAAGCACATAAATCACAGACTGTCATACATAACCATGAGCCATACATATCATACAAATATCATAATCAATAAAGATGTTATGTGTCGATACATAGTCTTGCCATTATGCCACGGGCCGCCACGTAGTCTTTCTTGCCAAGTCGGGGCCACCCCCTGGGTCTTACTGACAAGTGCCAAGAGCCACCTCCTGTTCTTCCATGCAAGCATCAAAAAGACAACTAGCATACATATTACTCTACTTAGCTAATTAGCATACAGTGTGCCAGGAGCCACCTCTTGGTCTTTCATACATAATGTCTAAGGCTAACCCTCAGGTCTTTCTATCATACATAATAACATACAGTGTGCTAGGATCCGCCTCCTAGTCTTTCATACATAATGCCTAGGGCTAACCCTCGGGTCTTCCTATCATACATAATAGCATACAGTGTGCCAGGAGCCGCCTCCTGGTCTTTCATACATAATGCCTAGGGCTAACCCTCGGGTCTTCCTACAACACATAAACCAAATGGGCCGGCATTGGTGCCTTCGACCCATACAAACAGTGAGGAGACTCACCTCGAATGTAGAAGCTCCCCGAAAGAAATCCTTAGTTACTGCCCCGCTGGCTTTCCGAGCTATCAATACCTGAACCAGATAAAATCTTAGTTAATAGGCCAAAACCCTCAAGTTTGGCCCAAGGTCAAACTTGGTCAAAAGTCAACGGTCAACGCAAGTCAAAGTCAACAAATCAAACTTCAGGCTGAGTACGCCTAGCGTACTTACCAAACATAATCGGGACCCCATACGAGTACGCGCAGCGTACTCGAAGGTACGCCCGGCGTACCCGGCCAAATGACACTTTTCCATTAAGTACTTAATCTCTTAAGTCCTTTCATCCAACACTCAGATCTAGTCCCACAACATCATTCTAAGTCATAAAGTTTCCACCTTTATGACTTTCCATGTCTAGAAAAGGTCCAAAAGCTAAAACCTTAACTTATTAATCCATTCAGACATCATGATATTCTCATGGAAGGTATAGAAGGATCAAGATTACATTTTTATGGATCCTAAAAGCTCCATAATGGATAAAGTTTCCAACTTTATCCATTAGAATGGTCCAAACAACCAAGATCTAGCCTTTAAGCATCAAATGGGACCAAAATTGCATCTTTTTCAACTTAATCCATTAAGTCTAAGTCTCCAACCTTCAGATATGAATCACAATGATGTTTAGATGGATAAAGTTTCCAACTTTATCCATAACAAGGTCACA